TTAAAAGTTGTCACGGGCGCGCCATGCATGCGGGGGCGCTGCTGAGGGGCAGCCGGTCGCCAGAGGTAGCGCGCGTCGGTTACCGCGGGCCGGGGGCAATGCAGGCGCGTGATGATGCGTCGGGGAGTGAGCTTGATCCAGAACTCACGTCAACGGCTCGAGGGGGAGATGACGCAATTCAGGGTGCGCGAGGTCTATGAGAAAGTTGAGGGGGGGGTGCTGGGCGCTTATTGGCAAGGCCATCAGTGGCGCGAGGTGGTCCGTTGTTGGCCCTGCGGTCCAGGGCAATCCCGAGTGCCGGTCCCGGCTGGTTGCGCAGCAAGTTCGGAGCGATTTCAATGGCCAGAAGGACGCATTTGCCACTTGGAAGCGCAACAATTGTTATTCTCTCGATGGCAGTTACCGAGAGAATAGGTCATGACCGACGGGGGCGCGAGACAGGACTGGAGCTGGGGTAATTGGTGCCAATCGGTCATGCTCCCACACCAACGCCAAGTATTTGGTCTTCATCAGGTTGCCCGAACAAGGCCGTGAACAGAGCGTGCGTGAGAGATCCTTACATCGATGTGCGGAGCCCGAGACGCCGCCGGCCAATGGGGGGGCTGCCGCAGGGAGCTTGCCCGCGACATCGGTTTTGACGACGGGAAAGCGTCGCCATGTGTCTGGCTATTTCCGCTCGTTAGTGATGCTGGCGCTACTTGGCTCGAAAGAGAAAACGAAGGGAGGCTTGCAGCTTAGGTCCCAGGCAGACTCAGACCTGGGCCAGCAGATTTGATGTCGACCAGGATCTCCAACCGAATCTTGGAATGGACCAAGGATGTGCCATGTCATGAAGTGGATCAGAGGTGCGCGGCAAGATTCGTCAAGAGTGCGGGCGAAACGCAACCTCCAGTGGGCGATGGCGAATAGCTCCTCACAAATCGTGGAGATTAGGAACAGCATGCCCCAGTGGCCCGGTCAACTTGTCTTGCGCAGGGTCGTTCGGTTATGCAGTTTTCATCCCAGGAGCGCGCGCGCTAATGTCAGTGACCAGTCGCAGCTAATAGGGCAATTGCCTCAATAACCATTGCAGGCGTGGGTAACAGTAGTGGCATCAGCAACGACTTCCGGAGTTGTCTGCGTGGAAAGTCACAGACTATGCTTGGCGGACGAGAACCTTTAAATCAACGAGTGGGGGAACAGTTATGTGGAGATCACATGTGATCGTGACGCGAAGCTCGACTCAGGTTGTCGTGGCATCACCTCCTGGGGGCACAGAGTATTTCGGAATGGTGATGGGTGTATCACGAGAGTTGGCACGACAAGCAGTTCCAAAGTCCTCGACGTTGAATGCGGCATTGTTTGCAAGAGCGAGGCGCTGAAAGCGTTGAACGCTAGCGCGGCAATCGCAATTTCAAGCCGGCGAGGGTCTGGAACAGTCAGGCACATCGAGTTGTACCAGGTCTGGTTGTAGGACAAGGTACGGTGAAAAGACGACAGAGTGATCATAATATGAGCCCGCGAGAACCTTGCAGACGCTGTAACAAAACATGGGGGCGGGCCGACATGCCCATGCACAGGCGAGGTACACATCAACATCGTGTCAGCGGGAGACACGAGCCTTCACCCGGCACGGAGTGCTCGATTCCTACATGTTTTCGTGTGTTAGAGACATATCTTTTACACAACTATGTCTATATACAGGTGTGATGCTGTCGCGTGCCGGTGTGCCAGTGAGTTGAGCGCGCTATCTATTGTAGTGGCCTTCGGCCAGTGCCGCCGATCCGGGTCGTTCGGATGCACATATTACGCGGACACCTCACGCTCGCACACGACCAAATGCACATACGGCAGGCACACATACAAAGACACACTAGGCGCACGCCAGACACTAGCACGCACAGACATTCGCAGACACGCACCACACACAGACACTCGCACAGGAGCCTGTCAGGGCGTCGAGGGGGCTTTTTGGGGGCTTTTGGGGGCCCTCTTGGGGGCTCTTGGGGCCTCCTGGGGGCCTCGTGGGCTGGAAGGCTAGATTTTTTCCGCTTTTCGTCCCTCTTTTGGGTCCTCTTGGGGCCGTCTTGGGGGCCTCTTGGGCCGTCTTGGGTAGCTTTTGGGCCGCCTTGGGGCCTTCTTGGGCCGTCTTGGGACTGTCTGGGGGCCTCGTGGGCCGTCTTCGAGCGGTCTTGGGGGCCTCTTGGGCCGTCTTGGAGCGTCGGAAAGCCGAAAAAAGCGACAACCCTAAAAACATGAAAAAACATTAATGGAAATGAACGGTTCTTGCCTCTGGGGGCCCTCGTGGGAGGCCTCTTGGAGGCCTCTTCAGACGTCTTGGAAGGCTCTTGGGCCGTCTTGGGGCCATCTTGGGCGTGTTCGGGCGATCTTTCGGGGTCTCGAGACTTTCGTAGACCGTCCTAAGAGACTTTTGCGGCCGCGGCCACCCTCGTAGCGCATCCTCGAGATTAGAGCCTTCTGTCAAAGCAGCCCCCCCGCATCCGCCGGAATCTCGCACCCCCCCCCATCCCCCCTTCCCCGGCAGAGCCACCCCGGCAACCCCCCCAGAGGCTGAGGCTCAGCCTCGAGGCTGTAGCTGAGACTCCTTGAAACTCACACGCCGGATCGGCGGATTTAGATTCAAGTGCCCGTCTGCACACACACACACACACGCACACCACATAATATGTGAATCGTTCCGCGGAACTCGGTATCATTCGTCAGTTTGATTGGTGTATCGCGTGTTACGCGGCCCCTTCACGTTCACCCCCGCATGTTGGTCGTTTTTGGCCTGTGCCAGTTGCGAACTCTCTTGGTCTCCAATTTGGCTTACTTTGTTGGGTTGGTGACCTGGCCTTTGAGTGCTCATGCTCGCGCGGGCTCCTTGTTTAGAAAACATCCGTTCCCCTGTCGCTCTTGTTGTTTATACTTCGCCCGGCTCCACATTCGGTTCATCAGCCGAGGGGAGGCTGTTAGATTGTAGCGTTCCGACTGGGTGAGCAGGATCGGCCATTTGCCAGATCTGTGATTTGGGAACCCGGGTGGTGCATGTTAGTTGTGTGCCGCATTTGTTTGGCTCAAGTGCTGTCGTTGTTTCGTGAACTAAAAATGCCAAACCGCCTGCCAATGTTCTGGAAGCAGCGAGGGGGAAGAAGGGGAGGAGGACGAGAAATATGACAATGAGGAGGAGCAGGAGGAGGAAGAGGAGGAGGAGGAAAAGGAGCAGGAGGAGACAGAAGATGATGAGGAAGAGGAGGAGGCGAAGGAGGAGGGCGTGGAGGAGGAAGGGGGTGAGGAGGAGGGAGGAGGAGGAGAAGGAGGAGGGGAGGGCGTTGGAGGGAGGACGGAGGGGGAGGGGCAGGAGGGCGGAGGGGGAGGAGGAGGAGGAGGAGGAGGAGAGGAGGAGGAGGAGGAGGAAGGAGGAGGAGGAGGAGGAGGAGGAGGAGGAGGAGGAGGAGGAGGAGGGGAGGAAGAAGAGGACACGGATGAGGAGCACCAGCAGGCGGAGGATGAAGAGAAGCAGGATGAGAAAGAACAGGTTGAGGAGGAAGAGGAACAGGAGGAACAATAGGAGGATGAGGAAGAAAGAGGAGGAGGAGGAGGAGGAGGAGGCGGAGGAGGAGGAGGCGGAGGAGGAGGAGTGAGGAGGGAACAGGGAGGAGGTGTTACGCGACGCACTTCAGGGGCCTGGACACCCGTGGGGGGCGCGAGGATGACCGCGTTCCGCGCGTCGCGGCCTGCGCCAGAGCGTCCGCTTTCATTATGGCGGCGCCTAGTGAGAATCGCGGCCCAGGATCGGAGCCAGCTAAAGGTTTGAGGTGGCCCAGCACTGACCCCGATCTGCCGGTGGAAGGAGGGGTGTGGCGAGGTTCGAGGCGCCGATTTCGGGGAGACTTGTGTATTTTTTTTGTCGGCTCCGGGAACCGTGTTCTGGCTCCTGGACCGATGAAAACGGATTTGGTGTGAAAAGCTGGACTAGATGGACCCGGGAGGGGTCCAGGATCCGATTCTGAACGGCCTTACCCCCCGTCTTGACCGATTTTTTCGCAGCCCATCCAGCTCGCTCCCTTTGGCCGCCTCCAGCGGGAGGTCGTTCATGTTATTGCTCTCGCCTGGGAAGACAGACCGTCCTTCGCTTCCTTGTCCTTCCTTTCCTCGCCCACCCCCTCATGTTCCCTCGCAATGGGCGTCTTCGGCTCGGCCTTTGCGCACAAGGAGGAAAAGGAGTTTAAGAAGGAGGATGATGATGAGGAACAGGTGGAGTAGGAGAAGGAGGAGGAGGGCGATGGGGACAGAACTCCGCTGAGAACGTCACGACACGAACCTGTCGTACCTCCCAGACTCGACGTAATATGTGTCCATGACGTGGACTCCCAGCCGTCTGGAACCATTCCCTGGGAACGGTTTCTCATCCCAGATTTTTTGTGTGTTGACGGCCCCGAGGGCCAGTAAGGCCCCCAGAGTCCGAAAGGACCGACAACTGTCCCGTCATGATTTTGGTCATGACCAGAGGGCCTCTGTGCTTATCCCCCGCATCCTTCTCCTCCTCCTCCCTACTCCTCTTCCTCCGCCTCCTCCCTCCTTATTCCTCCCTCCTCCCTCCTCCCTCCTCCCTCCTCCCTCCTCCCCCTCCTCCTCCCTCCGCCCTCCTCCTCCTCCTGCTCCGCCTCCTCCTCATCCTCCTCCGCCTCTCCTCCTCATCCCTCCTCCCTCCTCCCTCCTTCCCTCCTCCTCCTTCCTCTCTCCTCCCTCCTCCCCCCCCTCACTCCCTCCTCCCGCTCCCCTCCTCCTCCTCTCCTCCTCCTCTCCTCCTCCTCCCTCTCCTCCTTTCTCTCCTCCCCCTCATCCTCCCTCCTCCCTCCTCCCTCCTCCTTCTCATCCTCCTCCCTCCGCCTCCTCCTCCTCCTCCTCCTCCTCCTCCTCCTTCCTCCTCCCCCTCCTCCTCCTCCTCCACCTTCTCCTCCTCCTCCTCCTCCTCCTCCTCCTCCTCCTCCGCCTCCTCCCAGTCCTTTGCCCCCCAGGCGCGGCGTGGCGGTGGCGCCTGCGCACCACAAGGCCGCACCGATGCGGCGGATGGCGCACTCGGGGAGTCCGCAGCGCGCCGCGCCGAGCGCATCGCCGCTGGCCTCAGCGGCGGCGACGCGGGCAGTGCGGCCCGCATTGCCGCGGACCTCCTGCTCGTCGAGCGCCTGAGGGACAGGGGCGGCGGTGGGCGGTGATGACCGAAGAATGTGGACCGCCCAGATGGTCAGAGGAGGAGAACAGGCACCCATACCTCTAACCTTCGGCCGCTTTCCCCCTTCTAGGCCTCCTCGGAGGCCTTCGCCGCCACCGCCAGACTCGCCTGGAAATTCTGGTCAGAACGCACAATGGGGGAGGTCCAGGGAGTAGCGGTATCGGTTTCTTTTGGTCTCTCCAGGGCGGTGATGACCGAATGATCTAGGTCCTCCACAGGTGGGGTCGAAGGATCGACTCGAACGTGTATGTTCGTGTCATTGTTCGTGCCTCCACAGGTGGGGTCGAAGGATCGCCACGCATCGCCGATGCATCGGCGATGCGGCTCGATGTGGAGCCCGATTTCCTCCGCGCAGACGGCGCCGATGCACCGCCGACGTCGCCGATGCATCGTCGATGCATCTTTCGGCGATGCGGCGTGATTCTTCGACCCCATCCGTCTACTCGGACCCCATAGTGGAGGTCCCTGGATGACCAAAGAAGGACACATCGGCATAGCCATACACTTTTCGAGGTCCACGCGGACGTTTTGGATCGGCATTGGCTTCGGCGGCGCCTCTGGCGCCGCCCGTGGGGCGCTCTTGCGCCAGGGTGGGTTCTGGCGCCTATCCAAGAAATCCGCGCGGACCTCCGAACGTTCATGCTTATGCAGTTCTACTTCCTTCAGATAAGCTCCGAAAGCGACAGAAGTTCGCCGGAGGCGAAGGAGGCGCAGCCATGAGTCCCACAGTTACACTCTGCGCAGCCTGCTTTGGCTCGCCCGATTCTGCGTGCATGCCATCCTGGTGCGTCATATCCTCTGTTCTCTGACACCCATTTTGGCTGACTCGAGAGTCTTGCGACATTCCGCCGTCCGAGGAGGAAGTGTGGTCAGGGAAGGGTGTACCTGGCCGCATCGTGCTCGTGGCGCTTCTGTGGCGGCTCGCGCTCTAACTCCGAGGGAGACAAGGCAGAACAGGAGGAGGAGGAGGAGGAGGGGGAGGAGGCGGAGGAGGAGGAGGAGGAGGAGGTGGAGGACGAGGAGGATGAGGAGGAAAGCGGTAGAGCGAGGACGAGGTGGAGGAGGAGGAGGAGAAGCAGGAGGAGGAGGAGGAGGAGGAGGAGGAGGAGGTGGAGCACCATCAGCTCCAGAACCATCTGCTGCTCGAGGGGGGGGAGTGGAGGCAGTAGCGCGCGCATCTCCCAACCAGCGAGTGCTCCCGCCTGTGGTCTCGACCCGCACGCGGCCGAGCACCGCCTCGGGAGCTCTCCTTGGAACCGTTTCGGAGCCCTCCTGCGGCCTCTCCGGGCTCGCCCCGGCGCCCCCCCGTCGGGTGCCTCTGAGGTGGAGAGCGAGGAACACGGGGGGCGGGACGGATCCCATGGCATGAGCCATGACATCTCGCAGATCTCATGGCCCCCTGTTCTTTCAAGGCCTCCTAGATGAGGTCGGAGTAGAAGGGGTCGGAGGATCGCGCCACATCGCCGATGCATCGCCGATGCGGCTCGATGTGGGGCCCGATCTGCTTCACGCTGGACTCGCCGATGCATTGCCGATGCATCGCCGATGCATCAGCGATGTGGCGCGATCCTCCAACCCCGTCTACTCCGACCCCATCTAGGGGGGCTTTAGGCACGCCCCCTGGTCCCCCCCTTGAGGCAGAAACGAGGGAAGGGTAGACGGACAAAAGAGACAACACGACCAACACGTAAAACACAACTAACTCAATTCTTTGGCTTGGTTAGTACACGCCCGCTCAGGGATGCTAAGATGAACGCACTATCCATACACCTCGGCAAATTCCCAACAACCTGGCCAACCCTCAAGGCCAATCTTGAATCGGATAATGGTTTCCTGGCGATTTAGCGCCCCCTCCGCGCACATGCCTCGGGACAGGATGCGGCCCCTCCTCTCCCCTCTCTGCCTGGCCCCCCTCTTGGACGCCCCCCGACCTCCTGCGGCTCTCTCGGCGCCCTCTCGGGGCCTCTTGGGGCCACCTTGGCTTCCTCTGGACACCTCGGGGGGGAGTTGTTGGAGGCCTCTCAGGAGGGGAAAAACACACAGACACAATGAAGCGTCGATTCCCAGGAGAATATGGGAAAATACGGGAAGTGGGGGGGAAGGCAGGAACCCAGGAAATATGGGGAAATATGGGGAAACTTTTTGTTTGTGTGTCCTGGGGCCCCTTCGGCCTCGGAGTGGATGGGGTTGGAGGATCGCGCCACATCGCCGATGCATCGCCTCTGCGGCTCCACGCGGAGCCCGATCTGCTTCACACGTCGACCTCGTCGATGCCTCGTCGACGTCGACGAGGCATCGCCGGCGCATCGTCGATACATCGCCGATTCGGAGGCCTCTAGTGTTGTTCTAGGCCTATCGGGTCGGGCGAAAGGGGGGGATTGGGAAAGGGGGGATTACGAAATTTGCTGCATGCAGCTGGTTTCGGCCTCACCGAGGGGCCCATTCCTCGATACATAGCCGCCTCCGGCGCGGGAGGCGCCGGGAAAATCAGCTACGTGAGCTGATTCTCAAACCCCCCCTTTGCTATCCCCCCCTTCCGCCCGACCCGAGCCTAGGGGTTGACACCAACACCAAGATCGGCGGTGTGCCTCCTTCGAGGAAAAGAAAGATCCCGATCTCGGCGACGGTGGTGATTTTCGGGCCTCCTGGGTGGCTGAAGCATCACCACCATCACCCCAAACCAGGGCCGCCTTTGCCCGGTGGAGGCAACCCCCAGTGTTCGTGTTGGTGCCATTCCCACGCCTCCAGTGCTGGAGTGTCTTGGGGCTTCCGGTGCGCGTGTTGGGGGCTGTCTCGGTTCTGTCGTGCGCCTCCTGGAGCCCTCCCTGGGCCGCGCAGGAGGTCAGCGTGGAGCCTCCGGGGCCATCTTTGGTGGCCTTCTTGGCTGGGGAATAAGCGCACCTCCACCCCACCTGGCCCAGTTCATTTCGGTTCCGATTCGATTCGATTCGAGTTCGATGGATTCTGCTTCCGATTCGACTCGAGTGCGGATTCCGATGCGGGTTCCGATTTCTCAGCGGAGGCCTTACTAGCTTGCCAGTTTCCGCCGATCCGACCTCTCGCGACTTGGCTGCCGATTTCCGCCGATCCGATTCACTTCGGTCGCCGATTCGATTTAGCGATTCGATTCTGGACTCTCCTGCATGGCCCCCCTTTCCTCCCTGAGGCTGGACCAAAGGGCGCAACCAGTACATCCCACCCCCACCTGGCTCTCCTCGGGGGAGGAGGGAGGCCAGGTGGTGGGGCGGGGGCTCTTTTGCTCCCCTTTTCTTAGGTGCATCCTTGCCTGTTTCTTCAGAGTCTGCTGGGGACCTCTTGGACATTCTCAGAGGTGTCCGGATTTCATGTTGAAGACTCTTTTGATCGGACAAGTTGAAAGCGGCCACATCATCGGATGCATTAAGTAACGATTTTGATGATTTGGGGGGATGTCGGGGTCCCGCTGCGGAGTCATCTTGGAGCTTCTGGTTGCCAACCATCTCACTCGCTTTCTCACCTCGGCAAGAGTGTGTCGGCGTATTTGTCTCTGAGACTCGCGAGCTTTGAATCAGTATGTCATGCCTTTCGCACTGTAGTCATCAGTTTGCTCATAGGTCCTGTCTCAACTATTCAGCGTTGTTAGCCAGCGTTGCAGGTGCGCTCTGCGCAACTGCAAACAGGGAAGCCGCACCCGTGACGGGGATGACTACTTCAAGTCTGGGTACGGATCTTGCTGGCAGTCCAACGACTACAGAGTCGGTTGGTGATAATCGCACGTGAATCGAAGACCAAACAAAGGCAAAATGTGCATTATCGGAGGTCCGCGCGGATCTGTTGGATCGGCATTGGGCCCATTTGGCGACGCCTCCGGCGCCACCCCTGGCGCGCTCCGTGCGCCAGGTAGGGGGTCCAGCGCCGATCCAAGAAATCTGGTTGGACCTCCGAGAAATTGATTGTGATTATGCTTATGCTGCTCCCATCGGACTTACGGACCACATCCCAGAAATCATTTTGAGCGCCTAGAAAAGATTCGAACCAGTGTCGAACGAGTATCGCCTCCCAGGGCACGACGCATGAAAACCCTACAGGTTCGGTACTTTCTGGGTGCTCGAAATTCTTTCTTGTGATCAAGGCTAAGGCGGGTTGGAACATCATAAGGAGAGGAACGACCCAGCTGATCCCTACAAGTGGCACTGGCCTCCTGCTGGGCGCCCCAGCTGACAAGACGTCGTCTGGAAACTGCCCTCGCAGAGGCCTGCGGCGCACTGGCTACTGTGACAGCTTTTTTCACGTCGCATCTAGGAGGTGACTTTCCGCAGTGGTCCACCACGCGTCATCACTGCGCAGCTCGACGAAGGAACATCGCTATAAGCATGAAACTTTTGGAGCTCCGCGCAGACTTCTTGGATCCGCGCTGGGCCCCCCGCCCCCTGGCGGCGCCGCCTCTGGCGCGCTCTGCGCGCCTGGGAGGGGGTTCAAGCCCAGCCTCCTCCTCCTCCTCCTCCTCCGCCTCCACCTCCTCCTCCGCCTCCTCCTCCTCCTCCGCCTCTTCTTCATCCTCCTCCTCCTCCTACTCCTCATCCTCCCTCCTCCCTCCTCCCTCCTCCCTCCTCCCTCCTCCCTCCTCGCGCGGACCTCCAAACGTGAATGTCTATGCCGGGTGTTCTTCCTCTGGCAGCTCTGTTCGCTCGCTGTCCCTCTTTATATTCCGTGGGTGGTGGCCTCGTTCGTCGTCTCTGCTGGCTCGCCGACTCGACGCCGATGCGTCCAGTCCAACAAGTTGACCTTCAACTGCGAAGAGCCATCGGAGAAATATGATTAGGCGTCGTCCCGTGCTGGTTGACCACGCAGCTGGCGTGCGTCACCCTCGAAGCAGCTGAAAACGTTGTTACCACAAACCAAAGCACCCTCACGGACGACGATCGGACTCACACAAATGCTGGTCATTTGTGGGGGCGGGTCGTCTGAACGCTGAAGATACACACCGTTTCGCGGAGGACACGGTTAGCTGGAGGTGGAAAAGAACACATATAAGCATCGAAAAGTTACCACAAGTCCGAGCAGAAAGAGGGAGAGGCACACGACACCGAAGATGGAAAAAGCGAGCGGTTTTTGCGGCCTGATGCTGGAATCGGGGGGCCCCCTGCGGTGCGGTGTCTACACCGCTTGGTGAGTGAGTCCGTGGGGAGACGGGTAGGCCGCTCCTTCTTTGGGACTCGGGATCGTTCTCCGAGGCCCAAAAAATCCTTCGGTGACGGCCGTGCGGATCTCGAGGTCACCGCACGGTCTGTCACC